CAGATTTTGGACCCTGCTTCCAAAATCGAGGAAAAGACTTTCGCCTTTGATGTAAAGGTACTTACACCCTCTGTTCCCTGACTTAAAGGATGTGCCGTGCATGATGTTGCTTTACCATCTAAAGTTCTTTGAGGACCTTTGTGCTTACAAGTAATATTTTTATGTTAAAAATGGATCCCATCACAGACTGGCAGTGAAAAAGGAAACTCTCAGTGAGAAGCCTCTCTAGCTACAAGCATATTCAGCAGGAAGCTTTCCAGTTCAAAAAAATCAATACTTAATATGGCAAAGTTAGTGACTATAATGAATATTGTAGAGCCTTTAAAAAGACATGGTAAGTTAATAATGTAACCATGTTATAACTGGTTTAAATTTTTTAGTTATTTACTCATCTTTTCCAGGATGCATTTTCTTGTAGCTGAGTCAAGGAGTAACTGTTAAATAATTGACATTATAACTATGTAAGCATGAATCAAATATAAAGATAAATATTTAAATGTGTGGTTATTTTGTAAATTATTAGAACCAATCAGCGTGGTTATATCCTCAGGAATCACTCTCGTAATCTTCTTCCCGTGTCTTTATTTCTTTCTATATCTCCTCTCACTCTCCCGACCCCACCATTCATCCTATCTGACCTGTGAACCTCTGTGGAAAGGATGTCACTCCCAGTGGGCTGACACAGCTGAAGATAGCACACGCACAAACACCAGGAAATCCTCAGCTCTGTTTTATTTATTCAAGCCTCCCACTCATTCCTCTGCAAAAGATAAGTGCAGGGAATGAGGGATTGAAGATGAAATTTTCCCCCCATAGCATTACACACATCAAAGCTTAAAAACACAATTACCATTAACATCTGACCTTGCACATTCCCCAACATGAATTTTAAACAAGCTTCCTCTTTACCCAGGCCTAAATGACCCCTAAATACCTTGCAAAATTATTCATCACGGTGTCATATAACAGTTGCCTCAAGCTTAAATATAGGATTGTCATGAACCGAAGTTCAGTACGCAAGCTGGACCCAGAAGCAGAGACAACACGCACAGGAGTACGAAAAATAAACTTTATTTTAATTAAAGGTGTCCCGGAAGGGTCAAAGGAAAACATGCGAGAAACTAGAAAAACCAAGGGACCGGGGGGATGAGTTACGCAGGAACGCAGTAATCGGGACTGTGGGAGGCTGCAACAGAAAAAGGGAGAGAGTTACTGGGGAGCCGGGAAATAGCATACGTGGGGGGAGATTATGAGTCTTACAGTCAAAGCGGGGCCGTGGGAGCCGGAGGGAGGGGTGAGGGTCCGCGGGGGAGCTCCAGGAAAGTAGAGGTGATTGGTACCGGAGGCGATCCAAACTCCAGACGGGCAGGTGGACAGGCAGGTGGCTCAAAAACACGCCGAGCTGTTACCTGAGTGCAAAAGAAAAGATTAGCGTTTGTTCAGGTAAATGAGGGTTTTCACAACCGCCTTCCCGTGGGTGTACGTTACCGCTGTGAGACGACTAACGGACTGGCGTGGAGCAGCTGGCTGGGCTGGATCAAATAGTCCACCTGATAATCGCCTGAGATGGGATGCAGGTGTGGAGTTAACAGCCACACCCGTGGGCATGGGCATCCCATCAGCTCCTTGGACACCGGGCCGCGGACCATGACAAGGATGGGTTGCTTGTGCTGATTTTGTCAGAATATTCATCATAACTGTCGAATTCTTCAGCTGCGTGTCAGGCAGAATCTAATGAGGGGGGCATTCATATTGACCAGTCAGAACAGAAAAAATAGTTTAAAGAATACCTTATTTGTATTAATATTCATGTGTCTGTGAGGATATTTTCCTGGTGTGGGATTAAGGCTTAAGAAATACCAATAACAGTAGATAAAATAAGTGCATCCACACCAATACCAGCACCTTGGCGACAGGTTGACATTTTCCATGTTTTGACAGAAAGACGCAAATCCCATCTAACTGAGGGATGCTTGTCAGCCCTCTAACCATCAAACCGATGTCAGGAAAAAATTGCGCACCAGCCATAGTCTGCTCTTCCTCCAGTAGCACAAGCACATCTGCAGATATAAGCACAAGCCATTTACTCAGCTTGTGTATTGTAGATCAAAAAAGCAAACGCACAATGCACGGTTGAAAGATGTCAACTAATGACAACAGCTCAACAGTGGATTTGAAGCTCCCAGACCTTTGCTAAAAGACTAAATTGATGGTCCTGGCTACCTAGAGCTGTAGTCTTCTGCTGGCTGGCTTCTCTCAGCTTAGTGGATGATACATTAGATCAGTCAAGCATGCATGCATGGAGAAAGAAATAGATGAAGAGAAGGTGACGAGAACGGTATATCCTCAACCAGTTATACTAAAAGGATGCTGAATCAGCAGGGGGTCCATACTTACATCTGGTTGAACTGTTGTACTGTTTTCTGATTTCAAATGGCATGCACAGGAATGGATTATTCCCTAGTCCCCTTCATATCTTTTATTTCCAAAGCAATGAAAGCATCACATATCACTTTATTTTCCCAGGAAAGGGGCTTACAAGGATTAAAAAGGCATAAAGCAAGACCGGTTAAAAAAAACACTGCAGAAATACATATGGGTTTAAAGGAGATGCACAATATACTAAAATGAAAATAATCTCTAATTTATTAAGATTTCTTGTATCCAGAAAAAAAATCCAGTAAATAAACTCATATTATGTCAAAAGAAGTGAAACAGTGACACTGTGTGGTTGTAAAGAGGAACTACTACTGGAAGAAAGTAATTCACTCGGTTATAAATCACATCTTTTAATTTACTTGAGATAAACTGAAAAAGTATTATCCTCATAGTAAAGTCAGTCATTAGTCATTTTTGCATATGCATAAAGTGATAAGGTAAGGTGTAAACTGGAATTAACTGCTTTATTGGTGGCCAAGTAGGGATATGCTGAATGTGAAATTCTGGGGCCCTATTAGTGTTTTCTTCTGTATTTAGTTTTGTCTTGTATAAATATTGTTTAAATTGAAATCTTTTATCACCTAAAACCGGTGCTCTTTCAATATAGTCGTGAGTTTCTAGCTGAGAAAATGTTCTCTGATGTTTTGTAAATATGGATAACAAACAATCGGGCATGAAAATAACTAATAGGTCATGTGCCTAAACTGATTAGTCTTAATAACAATAATAATTTATGAGTCATTGCTAACAAATTTAGAATAACAACAATATTTAACAATATTTAGAATAATCAGTAATATCAATAACAGGGGCGTAATCTCCAGGGGGGGGTTTGACCCCCCCAATAATCAGACCCAACCAATATAACCCCCTCCACAATAAAATTATGAATTATCTTACATAAATAAGATGGTGATTTTGATTTTCTTTACTCATTTCAGGTAGGGGAGACCGGGGATAGTTGTAACGTGGGTCAGTTGTAACACTTCCAATTTCTCCAATCAGGGCTAAGTTTCAAATGATGTGACTCATCCTGTGACATGCCCAATTCAGTTCTGCTATCACATGTGAAAAATCAGCACATTTTGTCAAACACAGACAATTTAACATGAAAAAAAGTAATTTGTATGCCAAAAAGTAAGTTTTTCTACTTTATTTCAATTTCTAATAGCATTATCTGCTTTGCAGTTAAACTCATCAAACTTAAATTAGTGTTATTTGTATGTCTATGGGGATATATTCTGTGTAGGTCTTTAGTGCTAATGTTTTAGCCGTTGGCTGTAATGTTAGCTAGTTCATGGCTATAGGAGTCTGGGTCAGTTGTAACAGCAACAGTCTGGGTTAGTTGTAACAATAATGCAGATGTTACAACTTACCACACTATTACTTTAACTTATATTAAACAAGTTGGGGCAACGACATCAGCAGAGAGAGGTTCACTGGTCGCATTTGTATATTGTTAATGCCATTGGCAACACAATTCCTCCACTGTTTGTGTTCCCACACATACATTATGCAGACCACTGTGTCAGAGATGGACCAGTAGGAAGTACTGGTAGTGGAAATAAGTCAGGATGGGTGCAAGAAACAGATTTCCTCATCTTTCTGAAGCACTTTGCAAACCACACCAAGGTATGATAAAAAGTAATGGAATTGCGATGCTGGTGAACAACTACATTTTTTCAGCTTCATTGTTATGTTCAAAATTGGTGCAAGAGTTGTAGGTTATAATGCCCACTGAGCCAATGAGGCCAAACTCAAGGAAGACCAACCAAAATTAATGAAATATTCAGTTGCAGAAAATTCCATAATTTGTCTTTTTTGGGGGGTTGGAATATGTTCAAAAGTAGATTTCTGCATTCTGTCACACACACACACAACAAAATGGATGCTAAGTGCATTCATGTGTTGAATAAACAAAGATTACATGTTAATATTTTGTTAGTACCCTTATTTCATTGTGTTACATTTCACCCCAGGATATGTTACAACTAACCCAGACTATGGGGTTAATTGTAACATTTCACTCTTTGTGTTTGAGACCATACCATGCAATGGGTAATTGTGCTGCAGAGAAAATAGCTGCACTATTTAATAGCAGAGACATGTAAATACTTTGCATTACATTTTGAATCCACTACCTTAAAAGAGCTCCAATTTACAGACAGAAATGTCAAAAATGTTACAACTATCCCCGGTCTCCCCTAATCGAAATAGTGCATGTTTTTATCACTCTGGGAATTTACCTTCTAGACCTCTTTTATTTATTTATTTAGACAGCATGTCATGACCCCCCCCCACCACCCCCGCCCACACAACCCACACACACACACACACACAAAACACAATGTTCAGCAAAAAGGTACGTCGATGATCAATAACAATCAATAATATCTGGAGACATTGTTAGTATGTGTATCTTGCCTGATCCTGGTGAGATTCCTAGTGATTTTTTTAACATAGGACAGCCCGTTTTTTAGGTGCATGTAGTTCATATTTAAATCATTAGTCATTTATTGATGAACTCTTAGTACAATCACTGTTTTGACTCATCAGGCGCTTAAAATTGGAAAGGTCTTAGTGAATATTCTGCAAATGTACTCTCATTTTAATGCTGATACAAGATACACACATACACGTTTCATGTTTTTTATTATTATAAGTTACACTGATAATTTTGTATAAATGGCAAGAGAAAAACATGTACATTCACTTGGGAGGTAGAAACAGTTTACCAATATGCCACAGGTTCAGGTGTAACACAATATGCTGATACAGAATATGAGCTGTCAAATCAACTGTTGAGGGGTGTGTCGGCAGATCCAGTCACAAGCTATTAGTGCAGAACTAAGAAACACTTAAATAATTGCTTAAATTATGGTTGAGCTCACAAGTTATGGGTCACTTATTTTGGAAATATGGCCTTTTATAGGGCATTGATAATTTTAAACTCTCATCGTGGTGAGTCAGTTTGACAACGTGAGCATTTATTTTGTCCCAAAGTGTTACAAAAATTCACTTTTCTCTGAGTATAACCAGCTTCAACATATCAGTCTTGGTTTGTTTTATAAATGTGGATTAAAGTAAGACGGCTGGACGAATCCGCTGGACATGAAGGGATGCAGGAGACCTCCAGTGGTTGAAAGCGGAACACCACCCGCTGCGTGGAAGATCACATTTCCAGAGGTGAAGTTGGAGAAAGTTTGATGGAAGCTGGCAGAGCTCGACCCACACGTGGCTGGGTTCGGACTAACATTAATAAGGGAGTTAGAGCCGGGCTGCAAGGTGCTGTCCGCCCCGGGGTTCTGCTTTTTCCACTTGGTCCTCCGGTTCTGGAACCAGATTTTCACCTGGGTTTCGGTTAGACTTAGTGACAAGGCCAGGTTTAGTCTCTCGCACACAGACAAGTACCGAGTTGCGCGGAACTTGTTTTCCAGGGCCACAAGCTGTTCGTAAGTGAACGCTGTTCTGGCTCGCCGTGGTTTGGCACAGGCCTGGTCCGGGCGCCGGCGCTTGTGCGTTGACTGGTCCTGCAAGGTGACCGCTGACTCCCCGTCTCCACTGTCCTGTTGCCCGGTCAGACAGGGCTCCGTGTCCGCAGGTGGGGAGAGAAGATTGGGGTCTACAACAACTTCGGGGTGCCTGGAGAGTGCAGATTGTTCATCTCTTGCATCTTCTGTGGTAAAAAAAAAAAAAAAGAAAAAGAAAAGTCAGTTCTCATCCTGAAAGTCGCAGCAGCAAACCCAGTGGAGAATTGCCCAATTTAAATATTATTTATTTTCCTCTAAAATTGAGTTGAGCTGCAGTTGTGAGGTGTTAGTTGACAAAGTATGAGAAGAACCGGAGTTTTCCTTGCTCGGGCAAAATTAGGTGACTAATTTTTGAGGTGATTCGCAAGACTGAGCTGTGTTTTTAAAGAGGTTCTTTATTTGATTTTAGAGGAAAACGGTGACATTTAAGTGAGTCTGTTATTTAAACAATTGGGACCAAACGCCAAGGAGTGAATTTAACTGCGTGGTGCTGAAGGACAGTTCCTGGCAGGACAGACATCACTTGTAACCTGATTAGGAAATGTGTGTTCCTTGTGGAGTGTTTTTCCTCTTTGTTCCGTGTGAACTGCAGTTTACCAAACATAGAAGGCCTAGGAGTTGACATCTGTAAAGCGTTTGATTAGGATCCTGGGGTCGCTGGAGCGGAACAAAGCATAGATTCTGAGGAGAGGAAGATTTGGTCACTAATCCTTAAATAATTTATAAACCACACAGAGCCTCAAATGTCATGTTGCGGAAAGAAATCCCGTCTAAATCCAGCTTCGCCACCTCAGCCATGACGTGCTAATGGAGTTTCATATTTGCGGGTGGATCGATAAATGTCATCTATTTAAAGGGAAGTTTTAATCGAACGATATTTAGGATCAGACATGGATGGGGTGTGAAGTTTGTACCTGCAAGGTGCTGGAGGGAGATATGCAGGATGCAGTAATGGGATATCGATCAAAGCGCGCAGAGGCATCCTCAATGGGACGATTTAAACAATTATCTAGCCTGCCTGTCCCAATGCCAATCACATACTGGGGCTCTGGGAGCAAGCCTTTGTGGCTTCCTTGAAAGGAAACGCAGCCTTGGAAATTAAGGGAAGGTCATACAGAGATGACAATAAATCTGAGAGATAGCGCCTCACTTTCTGCTATTTGGTCTCGGCTTGGAGAAAATAAAACTTTTCAAGTATTTCAAATATTTAACTTTTTTTATACGTCCTCATGTTATAGTGTTCAGACGTTTCATTTAGGCATTCAGTTATAAATATGCACAAGATATGCCTGTGTGTTTTTAAGGTAATTTACAGATCCAGGCACACAAACAATAATATATTTAATGAAAAGATTAGAGCCAAGCTATGAGGTGTGTTTTAAAATAATAAAATTGAGGCGTTTTCTCTACCTGCTTCTGTGCGCTCGAGTCTGGAGTCTCCACCTGCAGTGCTGTCCGACTCCAAAGTTGTTCTCTCCGCGTTTGGCGCAGGTAACAACTTCTCCTTGATGATGGAAAGTTCGTTTACCTTCTTACTGTTGAATTTGTTCGGATCCAATATGTCAACTATAGAAAAGGAAATCTTATGACTGGACGTCATTGTCACTTCTTCAGCTGAGGCATCCTTTACGCAGAAAGACTCTTGGAGATTGATGTGCTCGATTACGCGCCCGGAGAGAAACTTCTCATAGCTTAGTCTGCTCCTTGTTTTCAAACTTCATCAGACCGGGTTCTGTGGCGGTGATCACCTCCTAGTGTTGTGTTCACTCCTCTGCTTCTGTCTGTCAGTCTCGCAGCGTGACCGGAGCGCAGTCTTTAAAGCGTCTATCCCCCCACCCGTCTCCAAACCAGACACGTGACACAAACACTATTAGCGTTTCACACGACCCCCTAATGGGCTCAAAGTATTCGCCGATAATCACCCATATCATTAAATTCCGCAATTCGCGACCTGAAAGTAAATTGTGCACAGATGGCAGTTGATCCATATCAGAGATCGCCCCGTCTCCCCAAATTGGACCCTCTCTCTCTCCCTTTTTTTGTAGACATCACTAGGACGGGGACTTTCGTATATCTTTTAGCAGAAATCAGGGGTTTTCTGAGTCTGCCTGTAAACAGATAGCTGTTTATTTGCTGCCACTGAAATTGTAGGCTTGTAAAGTAGCCAGATTATATTTAGATGTTGACTAAATATTTAGGAGTACACTGATAATGATTATTTACAAGTATTATGACAATATTGTCACTTCTAACACATTAGATTCGGCTTAAAATATTGCAAAAAAAAAAAAAAGCATCTCTGATGGCAGTTTAAACCCTTCCCTCCAGAATGTTTGCCTATTTATAATGCCAGCCTTCTGATATAACTCTTTTATCTTATCTATCACGAAATTAGTCTTAATAGCCTTAGTCTCAGTGTTTTTAAGAGCCATGGACTGCAAGAAATGTATACATTTTAAGGGTAGAAGATAAAGCCTCAAATGACTAGGTCTGTTCTTTATTGATAATTGAAGATGTAAAATTTACACGCATACTAGAGGAAATTAAACAAAGACATGGGAATTCATGAGGATTCACTAATCTATATGCTACATTCAAAGCTAAATTGCAGGCACGGTATAAATGCAGCTGATTGTTTTCTCACCTCATGCAATCGATTTATATTCACAGTCAATCGGATCCATAGTGCTTGCAATTAGTATTCAATAAAAAGTGACATGAGGTTGTTTGGAGCTTCATGCCTGCTGATGGCTAAAATGGTGAAACCAGCACCGGATCAATATTCTCAGCAGGTGTCCAATAGAGATAAAACCTGATGGGTAACAGGCAGTTATTTTGGATACTGGGAAGCTAAACTAGTAAGTGAAACTGCACAGATCGTCTTGCTACAAACTTCTTTTAATCTTAGAATGATCTAAATTATTCTTAATACTTTATTTTGAGTTAATCCCCGCTCTTTTTCATGTTTTACTAGAAATAGACTTAAGAGTCATTGCAAAAATGTACTTGTGTAATAAAATTGTAATGTAAATTTTACTATCTAAGCCTGTGAGGTCCTTATGTTGTGAGTATGAGACAGAAGGCAGACAAGCAATATCTCTGTAATACAGGCTACCAGTGCTGTAATGATTGTTAATGTCTTTGTTCTTTATTCTTTTGCAAAGTATCTCTTAACATTGGTTTTGAAAGGTGCCATATAATTAAAAAAATTACTTACTTTCTTGCTCATGGGGGATCTACACGTGTTTGCACACTGTTAAAGGCCCCCCTACACAGTTTCCTGTGTTACTTACACAGGTCAAGATGATTACTGTGTTACATGGGAGTTTTATTACTTTCCAGTCATAGCCTTCTGGACTGGCACAGTCTGTAGTTACATAGTCAAACATTTGTTGAAGCCACCACTACAGGGTGTCCGCATGTCAGCATTTACATGTGTATGGCACCTTGCACGGCCATTACTGTAGTCCCTCCATATGAATAGAGCCCAGTGCACATTGGAGGTTTACAACTTCCTACGTGAAAGCCCAGTGGCTGGACATCTGTTTGAGTGGGACAAAAGGGACGAGCCTCGAGGACAAAGAGGCCCTCAGGTAGACTTCAGTGAGCGGGAACAGCAGCTGGTTCAGCTCCGAGTCTGTACGGGCCAGAAGGAGACTTCAAAGAGGAGGAGAATTCCTTGTCGAACACAGTGGGGAGCCAAAGAGACACACTTCCAGCCAAGACCCCATCCAGGGTCAGTAAAGTCGTCACTTCACAGGGAGGCTGCCCCCAGTCTGCTAAACATCAGATAATTTGTCTTAATGGCAGGAGTAACATTATGAGCTCCAGTTCTACTCACACACTGTAGTGTCTATTGTTTTCTCAAAAGTCCACAGTCTCCCCAAATCTCCTGTAAAGTGGGACTCAAACAAAGGCTCAGCAAGTGTCTGGTTAACCTTTAAGGGCCCAGTATATCCTCTGCACCAGCTGCCAAAACTTTTCAAGACATATTACTGAAGAATATAGTCATGGGCTTGTATGCTTTAGCACTCATGTTAATGTTGAGGGAGACAGTGGAAAGATGACAGGAAAAGAGTGTGGAAGAGTAAATGAGAACGATCAGAAAAAAAATGAAATTAAAAAAAAGAAAGGAAACTAACACATGTGAAATTAAGAACATGAAAATTTGATTTGATATCGCCTCTGTTACCATTACCATTTTTATGTTGACATTTAGCAAAATTCTACATTGTGCTTCTAAGTGCAGCTTCAAAAAGCTGTTAGCATAGAAACAGCAAACAAAAGAGGTTGAATGCTCTTCTTCGTTGCTTCATTCCAGTGTTTCTGACATATAACCTTTCAGTTATATTTGTAACTTACTTTTGATGTTGAGCTTGTTTTTCCCACATCATGTAGGCCTTTTCTGAACTGAATTATTAAAGAGGATTCTTTCAAATCAACATTAATGGGATTTCACATTTTATGAATGTTAACACAAAGGCTTTCAGTGACTCTGTTCAACATTTTAGTGTAAAAAAGCACTCACCTTCTCAGGAGCTACTTAGTAAAGTTGAGTGCAATCACCATTTATATAAGATTTTTGAGTAAATCAAGTTTTTATAGTGCGCAGTGTTTCACTGAAATAACAACAATTACTCAGGGGAACTTAAAAAAAAGTCTAATTTGATCCTTTAAAACCAACATAGTAAAGTGAGGTTTCATTGTTTTGGTTCTAAACTAAACTAAACTGACCAAACTGGCAGTTTTGTCTCTTAAATTAAGCACCCGATGGTCTGACAGTTTTATAAATAACAAAAAGTGTAAGAAGTCAACAGCTCTGAAACATAAAGAAAACCTGCCTGCTGTCAATCAATTTTTGAGTGCATTTAACATGCACATTAGTAGTTTTAATCATTTTTCTGGAGTTATCTCAAAGCATTCTCTGTGTTGCAGGTCATTGGCACTGATGTGTGCCAGCGTAGCTCAATACAGTATAATATTCCTAAATGGGCATAAAACTTTTTCACCTTTTTTTGCCAGCTCTTCTGTGTTTACCACATGCCTGTGGATGCTACAACCAGCCAGGCCTTCTTTCAGTTAGCCCTCTGTGTTTGTGTGACTCTCTGACAACAAGGTCAGTGGCATTGCCCAGTAATTGTCCTAACGGCCTGTATACCTGTTGGGTGGAGGCGAGTAATGAGAGTTTTTCATTACAGGCGGGACGGGTGAGTGCGCCTGGCAGATGCTGACAGGCAGCAGATGTGTAAAGTTGGGGGTGATTTGTAAAGGGGTCAACTGCCTCGCAGAGGAGATGGAGGGCGATGTGGGATGGGGGTAAATTATGCTGAGGGACACTGTCAGTCATACCACACTACTGTCACAACAAGGTAAAGGTCAGTTCATACATTGGTGTTGTCAGCTAGCGTCACAGGATAGTGTAGTCGGGTCAGGAAAGTGTGCAAACTTTGTACCAAATAATGACTGGAGGGTGGAGTTGAAAGGGTAGCCATTTTACCCAAGACTTATTTTATCCACAGTCATGGAAAAACTGCCCTGAGTTAGATTTATGTGTGTTTTCTATTAGGTAGTTTTTGTGGTTTTTTTGGATGCACAAAGCTAAACGGGCCTGTTTCTGTTTGAATACCCAGTGTTTGAATCATGTACCTACGCTACAAGCATCTGGTGTACTATAATGGTCAGAGACTGAGCATGCAAAGCTGTAGCTTACCTTGAATGGATGGAGACGGATCACCATCGCCAGCCCAACAGGGGACTGAGAGACACTGAGAGCATTACGGTCCTCACCATATCTGTGGCCCTTTTGTGTTTTTAGTTTTCCCTTTCCTCCTGTCTTCCATGTTTCTCTGCCTCTTTTTTCAACTTTAGTGTTGGTCCTAATGTTGCAGGTTAGTTATTTGTCTTTTGGTTACTTCTTATTTTACTTTGAAAGGTTAGTTTTCACATGTGTCTTGTGATTTTACTTCCTCTGTTTGTTCCTTCTCTTGCTTTTATTCTTTTCTGCCCTACCTCGCTTGTTTCCACTTATGCCTTCTTCCCACCTGTGTCTCACTTACCAGTCAACCGCCTGTGCATATACACATAGTCTTGCATTTCCCTGTTTATCATCATATTAACCCTGTGCCTGCTCTCTTTGTTTGCTTTTTTATTTCTGCTGTCACTTTTGCTACAGAATGTGATGAGCAGCCTGTTTTTAAACTGTGTGAGGACACTGGAGCAACCAGAGGAAACCCACAAAGGCACAAAGACATCCACACACAAAGAACGCGTCCAACCTAGAGATTGCAACCATGGACATTGTAAAACATGTGTTTTCCTGTTTTTTTGCGTGTCTTATTTGCACAGTGTCCTTGGGTGTTTTGAAAAGCACTTTTAATTGAAAATGTATTATTTTTTATTATTATTATAACTCTTAGATCTGCGAAGCCAATGTGGAAGTACCCTGAAGTGGCATTCTCTTTAAATGTCAGCAGGGGGCGGCTTCTCTAGTTGAAGAAAGTCTACCTGTTCTACTGAACTTAAAACACTTTCCTGGTGAGTTCGTGCACTCATGTTGAATAAAACATGAAGTTTTGTAAATTATGGTCATTATTTGAGGATTACAGACACTGTGCTCACTTACAGACACCTTGTCAACAGCAAGTCGTTAGCCAGTGAGCATGGGGTGTTCCCAGTTTTGTGTTCAGATTCACTTCTTGCTCATCATGTCAGCTTTCAAACACCAAAATGATGACAGCGGAAATGTTCAGCTGGAGGCTTCATTTCATGACTTTGCCAATGGGTGGCATCATGATGGTTACGGCGATCGAATACTTGGAACTATATTTCCTGTAAAGTAGCAGTGCTGACCACTAGTGTTAGCCTGTTCTCTTCACTGTGGAAGAATTTAATCCCACGTTTGTGTCCAGAGCTTTACAAATTGAAAAGCTTCAGGAAATGCATAATCTAGCCCACCAATCACAGTGAAAAGCTGCAATCAGCGCATAAAAGTGCACATGCAGTGTTCGATTTGAGACAAAATGAATTTATGAATATATCTAAATTTATCTGAACTCGTCCAAGTATCTGAGGACAGATTGTAGAGGAAGGTTTGT